CCTTGACGCACGTATTTTCCCTACCTCCCTCCCGAGATACCTAACAAGAATACAAATATATTTTTTAAATGGTAAATTTCTTGTATATATTTTGAGACAATAAGAAAAATAGAATACAGAAGAATAATTAACACTGAAGTTCCTCCCAGAAGTAGAAGGGAAGGGAATGTTTCCTCATGTCTTCTAGGTGGCCAGTGTCACTCCGATACTATGGCCAAAAGACAGCACAAGAAAAGAAAATTGAAAATGAATATCCATGGGGAGGTTCCAAGATGGCAGAGTAGGGAGGGAGCTTACTGCTCTAGCCCAGTAGAAGATAGTGGAGATTGACCGGCGCTGTGGCTCACTTGGCTAATCCTCTGCCTGCAGCGCTGGCACCCCGGGTTCTAGTCCCCGTGGGGTGCTGGATTCTGTCCCAGTTGCTTCTCTTCCAGTCCAGCTCTCTGCTATGGCCAGGGAAGGCAATGGAGGAGGGCCCAAGTGCTTGGGCCCTGCACCTGCATGGGAGACTGGGGGAGGCACCTGGCTCCTGGCTTCTGATCAGCGCAGCGCGCCAGCTACAGCACGCCAGCCACAGCACGCCAGCCATAGCGGCCATTTGGGGGGTGAACCAACGGAAGGAAGACCTTTCTGTCTCTCTCTCACTGTCTAACTCTGCCTGTCAAAAAAAAAAAAAAGAATAAATAATTAGGCTCCATAACTATTGCCTCCACGTCTGCCTGGGTGAGCAACTTAAGTTGAAAAACTGCTTACTTAGAAGCTGGCATTGTGGTGTAGTCGGTTAAGCCAGTGTCTGCAGTGCCAGCATCCCATGTGGGTACAGGTTCGAGTCCTGACTGCTCCACTTGCAATCCAGCTCCCTGCTAACGCACCTGAGAAAGCAGCAGAAGATAGCCCATGTGCTTGAGCCCCTGTCATCAACAGGGGAGACCTGGATGAAGCTCCTGGCTTTGGCCCGGCCCAGCCCTGGCGGCCATCTGGGAAGTGAACTAACTGATGGAAGATAAATCAGTCAATCTCTTTCTCATCTCTCTCCCTCCTGCTCTCACTCTCTCCCTCCTCTTGGTTAACTTCGCCTTTCAAATAAGTAAATATTTAAGGCCAGTGCCTTGGCTCATTTGGCTAATTCTCCGCCTGCGGCACCGGCACCCCAGGTTCTAGTCCTGGTTGGGGTGCCGGGTACTAGTCCCAGTTGCTCCTCTCCAGTCCAGCTCTCTGCTGTGGCCTGGGAAAGCGGTGGAGGATGGCCCAAGTGCTTGGGCCCTGAACTGGCATGGGACACCAGGAGGAAGCAA